CTCGATCTCCTCCTCCTCCTCCTTCTCCTCCTCTGCTGCATGGCAGCTTAAGCCGCCGCGGCCAGCTGCAGCCTCGCCCCGCGGGGCGGCCGAGGCAGTGGCGCTCCTGTCCCGCCCTTTGCTAGATCTCTCCTCCCTCCTCCTCCCTCTCCTCCTCCCTCCTGCATCCTCCTCCCTCGAACCTCCTCCCTCCGTCCTCCCTTCTCCTCCACCTCCTCCTCCTCCTCCTCCTCCTTCTCCTCCCTCCTCATCATCATCCTCCTTCCTCCTCCTCCTCCTCCTCCTCCTCCTCCTCCTTCCTCCTCCTCCTCCTTCCTCCGCCTCCCTCCTTCTCCTGTTCTTCCTCCGCTTCCACGTCATTCTTCTCCTCTTCCTCCTCCACCTCCATTCGAACGGACCCGTGTCAGGCCATCCCCACCTTTCACTGCCCCTGCCTTGTTTCACCAGCCTCTCTCCCGCTGCCTTTTGGGCTCAAGGCTGGCCAGGCTTAACGCCCGCATACGCCTAACAGCACCGCATACCGCATACATCGCTCTTGTAAAACAGAGCGCACATTCTCTTATTTTCAATCCTAACTTGTTACTCTAGTTGGTAGCGGAGCTTCGGCTCCCTTCCACGCTGTTACATTCTTCTCGCATCATTCCGATGAAGACGTTCTCCCTCTCCGTCTACATGAACCTCGTGTTCTTCCGCATATCGACCAGCATGCTCATCAGTATAGCGTTGTCCCTTTGCTCCCCGCGCGGCGCGGCAGGGAACCCGATCCCGCCGCAGGGCCCCGGCGATCCGGGAGCAGGCGCGACCATCCTATGCAAGTACGACCACCAGAAGATCTACGACGGCACCCGGCAGGACGGCGCCGGGGAGGGAGGGCGGGGGCGCGAGCTTGTTTGGGATGTCTCAATGAGCCCAGTGCGCGGCGCCACGACCGCCCCGCACGATCATTCCATGAGTGTCTCGTACATCCCGAGAGAGCCAGATGCGACCATCTTGCTGGCAACCCCAGAGTCTCAGATGTCACGGTCTCCGCCTGTGGAGATTGCTGGCAAAGTCAGTCTTGAGATTTACCCCGAGCCCGCGCTATCAGTGTCAGAAAAGAGAGTTCAAGGGGAACGCCTACGACTGCGACTACGCCGACGGCTACTCCGAGGACGCCTGCGGCCACGATGACTACGCCTTCGGCTACAATCTCTTCGCCTACGGCTTTGCCTACGCGTGCAACCTCGTCTACGCCCGCGGCTGCGACGACGGCTCCTGCGGCGACTTGGGATGTGCGCTGTGCCAGCGGCCCGCAACGTTGGAGGGCCGCCAATCCCAACCTGCGCGGCACTGCCCAGGCCCAAAGAGAAGGACGCCCCATGAGCACCCTCCTCGACAAGGCCAAGCCTAGGACGGAATCCAGCACCACAACTGGCCGGAGCCCGAGCCCTTCGTCAAGTTCAGCGCCCAGGCCCAGCACCAGCCGCAGTGCAATAATGCGGAGGCGATCGCTCACGGCGTGAATCCCCCGCATCGCTGGCGCGACGACCCCTCGGTGAACAACGATCCCGAGGAGGCCGACGAAGCAGAGCATGCCGGAGGCCACTATCCGCGTCGACTCCGAGGCAGCCTGCCGGAGCATCGACCACGGTGGATCCCAGGCTCCGAAGCTGCGGGGATGCTGCTGAGAGGCCTCAGCCACAAGTGGGCGCGGCTCATAACTGGGGCCCTGCTTGCCATCTCCTGCCCATCCTGCATGGACGCAGGCGGGGAGTGGCAGCGGCAACATCCGGGTCCCGTGCAGCAGGCTCGCGTGCCCTTCAGTCGATGGGTCCGGGAGGTAATGATCTGGTCTGTCGCGGACTCCGACATGAACGAGTTCTGGCAGGCGGCCCGCGTCTCGTCGCGCCTCGCCGGCATGGCGCGCGAATGCGTCGACGTGTGACCGCCCCAGATCCTCATCCAGGGAGGCGTCATCAAAGGGCAGCCGGCGCCGCCGATGACTTTCCTGATGCGCAGCTTGGCCGAGCGCTGGCGCCAGCTGGGGGGGGGAAACGCACCGCCGCAGCGCACGCTCTCATGGGTTTCCGCCGCCAGCCCGCGGAGCGCATCGACAACCTCCTCACGCGGTTCGACATCGTCCGCAACCGCGCGCAGCAGGCCGGTCAGCTGACCGTCGGCTTCGAGGGGCTCAGCTTCCTGCTCCTCCACGCGTGCGGCGTTGACGACAGTCAGCTGCTCATGATCCTCCAGCGCTGCAACATGGCCTACCCCTCCAACGCGCAGCAGCTGCAGCACGCGTCCAATCAGCTGCGCCGCATCGGCCATACGTTGGAGAACTCGCCCGGGAACCAGACGTTCCCAGCCACTCCTTCGACGAATGACCCCAGCAGATTCCATGATGACGCTGGCGGTCTGAGCCTGGGCCACCAAGGACCTCCGGCCATGGGTGCAGTCGACCTCCCGAGCCCATCGGGGGCCGCAGCCATGCCTAAGCTCCCCGCCAGCAGGAGGCCTACCCAGCCGGCGAAGTCGACTCCGGCACCGACTCGGACACAGCGTCGAGCTTCGGCGAGGAGATCAGGGAGGACGACCCCGAGCTCCAAGGCGCCCCTGAGGACCAGCGGGCGGCTCACCTTTTCTGGGCCTGCGAGCGCGCCAAGAGCAGGTGGCGTCGGTTCAACAACTACAAGCCGACCCGCCGAGTGCGCCGAGTCCTCAAGCGCACGGGGAAGGGTAAAGGCAGCGGCGAGGGCCACACCTACCTCGCGCACCTGGACGACGCCACGGTCCGGGAGACTTTTGTGGGCTCCAGGAAGGGCAAAGGTAAGGGAAAGGGGAAGCATCGGACCAGCGGCATGGGCATGGGCAGGTCCGGCAACCCCATGGGTCCAGACGGGCAGCGCCTCAAGTGCCACGAGTGCGACTCGGAGGAGCACCTCGTGCGCGATTGCCCTCGGCGACGCCAGCATGGCGGCCGGGCCCTACCTCCCTTCATCGCCCCCTACATCATCTACGTCACCGTTGACCTCTCTTGTGCAATCAGGCTCACATGAGCCATCAGAGCAGATGCCCAGGACGAGTGCTCATCCCCTGGGGTACTCGGGGTCTTTTTTTTTAAAAAAAAAAATTAAAAAAAGATCCATTATGGGGGGCCCATTTAAATGGGCCTTCTGCCTAAACATCGGGCCGTCACCCACGCATTATGCGTGCTTGCGCTTTGCACGCACGATTGAGCATTGAATACTGTTGCGCTGCATGTTTGTGAAACTTAGCGAGAAAAATCGCTGGCGCGCGAGAGCGTGCTTGTGGTTTGACCTGGCGTGGTCATGGGACGATGAGGAATTCCGTCGTTTCCAGCATCGTTGCATTATCGAAACGCTCTCAGCATCATCATTCTTCACTATCACCATCATCACCATCATGATTACCATCGGGGTCATCATCATCGCCACCATCTTCACCATCCATTACCATCATCATCATCATCACCAACATCAGCATCACCACCACCATCGTCTTCGTCATACTATTGATCGCCATTGCATCATTTTCCTCCGCGTCGCCGAGCCGACGTCGTCGCCGCCGGTCCAGCAGCAGCCTCGGCCTCCCCCGCTTCTTTTCCGAACCCTCCCGAGGACGAAATACGACGACTATGACAGGAGATGGAGGCCATGAGGCAGCGCATCCAGCAGCAGCAGCCTGCAGCCGGATGATCCTTCCATGTCGGTGAAACCGCGGGACCAGCACCAGCGCGGCACGCACCAGCAGCCCCGCCAGCAACGCCACGGCAGCCAGCGCAGCAGCAGCCACAGCAGCCGCAGCAGCAGCGACCTCAGTGGCACGTGGGCGCCGCCTTCCCTGTGGAAGCTGACTGGATTGGTGACCTCAATGCTCGCGTGGCCTCACCACCAGAGCCACCGCGGGGCGTTGAGCTGCCGAACTGGGCGTGCATGCCCTCAGCATCGGCCTTCGGCATCAGCGCGCCATGCGGTCCGAGCACCACGTGGCCTCCGCGTGCTGCGCCGAGTCCGGAGCCCCCAGCGGCTCCAAACTCCCTTGAGATGCTGCCGCTCTTCGGCAACAGTGCCACAACGCCGTTGGACCCGACGCGGCCCTCAGGGGGGATCGCGAGCTGGTTCGCCGGGCGGGAGCAGTGGCAGCAGCAGAGCAGCCGCTCTGGCATCTCAGTCGCGATGGTGGAGACGACCCTGGGAGCGACCCAGCAGCGCCCAGTCTGGGAGCTCAACGACGTGCAGAGCGCGCTCGAGGAGCTAAGGAGCCAGGGGCAGGCGGCATCCTCAGGAAGGCCACTGAGCTGGTGTCGAACGCCCCTGAGATCCTGGACCAGTTCGAGGGCCTACGATGTCCAGGACGGCACAAACACGTGCACATAGAGGGCCACAACAGCCACGACGCCCAGATCTGGCCATGGCGCATGGCCGAGCGGCTAGTCCAAGGCACTGTGGACCTTCGCCGCAGACTCAGGCGCGCGGCTGGTACGGACCATGTCCAGGCCAACGCACCGGAATTTCGAACATTCTCTTCCACCCTCTCTTCCCCTTGCCCCCCTTGCCGATCCCGCCCGGGGTCCGAGTAGTAGTAGAAGCCTACCCCTGGGGTCCCGGTAGCAACGGGCAGCGGTAGACAGCACATGCTAGGCTAACAATCCCATTAAATGGGACAGCAGCTACGGCATCAACAATCCCACCGAGTGTGATAGCAGCTTTGTGCGATACGTAGTAACATGCGTAGACAATTGTATGGGAGTAGCCGCAGGCGGATCTCACGCGCTTGGCCGCGCCCTGGCCTGTGGCGGCAAGCATCGCGCGTTGAACCTTCTGCTTGCCCTGGCGTTTTTGTGCAGGAATGCCGCCTCGAAATGTGACTTTGACCGGGGTTAGGTTCAAAGGGCCGTCGTATCGGACCACGCGTCCGGTTGGACATTCGGTTCAGGCGGCCAGTCGCCAGCGGATCATGCGTCCGCACGGCGGTGTCCGCAGGGGCTCCTGCTCCTGCCCTGCGGCTGGCTGCGGATCGGTGTCCAGCTGGCCGTCTCTCTCTCTCTCTCTCTCTTTCTCTCTCTCTCTCTCTTTTTTTTCTCTCTCTCTCTCTCTCTTTCTGTTTCTGGGGCGCGGCGTTATTGTCGTGCGCGACCTGGCGCTTAGATAATCGCGCTTCGCCGTCCGCTGCCGCGGATCAGGTGTCCGCCTGGCGGTGCGTGGCGGTTGGGGTCGGCCCGGGGGCGGGGCGGTTCCTCCCCCCGACAGCCGCCGAAATGGGGCACCGAGTCCCCCCCCCCCCCCCTCGGTGCCGCATCGCCCAAATCAGGAAGGTGGCTGCCGCCCCGCAGACGACCAGCGCTGATTCCTCGCTGCCGCCGAGCGTGCATCGGGCACCCTCGGAGGGTCTGGCCATGCAGCCGGTCAAGCCCGTCAAGGTCGGCGGGGTGTTCCGCGGCGGCGGCGGCGCGCTGCCTTCGGCGCTGTGCTTGGCCAAGGCCGCGATCGGGGCAGGCGTGCTGTCCATGGGCGTGCACGCTGCGGAGGTGGGGCTGGCGTTCACGATGGCCGCCCTGTGCGCTGGCGCGGGCCTCGCGGTGGTGAGCATATCGCTGATCGCAAAGGCATGCGTGTCCACGAACCGTTGGAGTTTCGAGGACATTATTGACGAACTGCTCCACCCTGCTCTGGCTCTCTGGACGGGCTTCGTCAACGCGGCGAACTGCCTGGGCTCGGCAGCGGGCTACCTCATCGTGTGCGGGCAGGTGTTCGCTGTTCTGACGCACTGCGGCGATGAAGACCGCAGGCTGTTTATCGTGGGGGTCGGCGCGTGCATCTGCGCGCCCATGGCGTTGGCCCGGGAAGTGGGGTTCATGAGGCATCTGGCCGCCCTGAGTTTCGGAGCCATATTGTTGCTTGTTGTGTGCATCGCCGTCTGGCCCATCGAGCGTGGGATCGACGACTCCGTCACGGCGGTTGGGCTGCTCGACGGCAAAGGAGGCGCGACGGCCTTCGCGTACATGAACTCTGTGAACAACATGATCTTCGCGTACAACAATCAGTTCAACGTGCCGCAGGTTACGGGTGAGCTCACCCCTCAGCCAGGAGTTCGTTGGATGACCAACGTTGCGCTTGTATCCACGTCCTTGACGTTCCTGTTGTACGCCTCGGTGTCGGCAGTGGGCGTCCTGGCTTTCGGCCTTGATGACCAACAGGATACATTCGTGCTCGACTTGGCCAGAGACACCAAGAACCCACTCGTGTTCACGACGCTTCTGGCTGTCATGTTCAGCGTCATCGTGTGCTTCCAGTTTCACGTCTACCCGATTCGACAGTTCTGCGCGTACAACATCCGCAAGTTGCGGGGCATGGCCACTGATGAGAAGGAGGGATCCGACAAGGTGATCAGCGGGCGCTCCTTGACCAGATGGCTTGATATCTTCTGCGCGCTTGCCGCGGTGCTCATCGCGTCGGTGCTCACGGAGATCACGGTGCTCCTCGACTTCATCGGTGCTTTTGCGGGTGCGTGGACCTCATACGTGGTCCCTCCTCTGTGGGTGATCGTGCTGCGCCACCGAGCGCAGGGGTTCTCGTGGTGGAGTCCCGAGGTTGCGGGCTGCGTTGCCCTTTTCGCGCTGGGCACGTGCCTCTTCGCCTTCGGCACGTTTTCTGCGATCGTGGGATGAGCCCCGTCGACGCTCAAGGCATTCTGCCCAGCGAGAGGACAGGCTGCGCCATTGCCGTACACGCGCCTTTCCAACTGCGCTTCCCGCGCAGCCCCGCCACGGATGAGCATGATCCCGTCGGGAGTTACAGTTGCCCAGTGGGCACTTCCATCCAGGACGCGTGGACCAAGCAACAGTCTTGATCTGCGTTCACGGCGGCGCTGCGATTCCAATCGAGAAATTGTTCAGTTGTTCCCGCTTGCAGTTCACAAGAGCCGCAGCGAATGTCGTCACAATGACGATCACATGGTTCATGCTGATCAACAGCCCTCCGCAGCGCGATTCACTCAGTTAAGCGCTAGAATCGCATTCTTCGAAGCGGGTCTCCGAGCTGCAGCGCAGGGCAGTTACGTACAGAATACGTATTGGAATGACGGCCGCATGTCGGCGCACCCTCCGTGTCAGCGCATACCAGCGAAGCTTGGCGAACAAAAAAAATGAAGCCCCCCTCCCGTCGCAACTGCCTCGTCGATGAGTTGTTCAGACCACGGTTCGCAGCATGAGTTTGCCTCCTGCAGGTCGGCTTGTTTTGTGCCCTCGGGTTCCTCAGTGACCTCGGGGGGGTGGGGGGCCTAGCCCCGTGCCTGCCCTGGGCGGCGGTCCCCCTTCTCCACCGCTCGGGGCCTGCCGAGTCGCAAGGCACCTGCAAACTGGCGTGAATGTCGCAAAGAAAACGTCCTCATCCAGCACCCGAAGAATGCCCCAGGAGCTTCTCCGCGACCACACGTCGCTCAGGCGTGCGACATTCCCCTGCTCCTTCTAATCCTCCTCTTGCTCCTACTCCTCCTCCCCCTCCTCCTCCTCCTCCTCCTCCTCCTCCTCCTCCTCCTCCTCCTCCTCCTCCTCCTCCTCCTCCTCCTCCTCCTCCTCCTCCTCCCTCCTCCTGATCCTCTTCCTCCTCCTTCTTCCCCTCCTCGTCTTTCTCCTCCTCATCCTCATCCTCATCCTCATCCTAGCTTCCCTCCTCCGTGTAACTATATGACCCCCCTTCGGTGACAAGGAGGTTTGGGGGAATTCGCAATCGATCTCATGATCGATCTTGTCGATCCCACGGTCGATCTCGCAAGCGATCTCGCCATCGATCTCACAACACGTTTGACTATCGATCTCACGACGGATCTCGCTATCGATCTCCAAACCGACCTCACTATCGATCTCGCCGCCCTGGTGGGACACTGACCCGCGCCGCCCTGCTCCGGGACACGGGACACCGACGGGACGCCGGCGCGCCACCGACAGGACGCTCCCGACCACAGCGCGCCGGGGGGGGAGGGGCGGACAACGCGCGCCACAGCCCCAAGCCACGGCGGCGACGCCGACGGGACACCGATGGGACACCGACGCGTGACACTCCCCACCACCGCGCGCCCGGGGGGGGGAGGGGCGGACAACGGGCTCCACAACCCCTAGCCACGGCGGCATCATTCCTCTTGCGCGCCACGCGGCTTCGCCTCGCCCGCACGCACGACACGACCACGAACACGAAACCAAAGCCGACTTCTGGTGGGGGCTCTCCGTTCCACTGCGAACTCACCCCCCAACCTCCGGTCCCAGATGAAGGACAGATTCGCCAGCGAAATCCGAACCCTACCCTCGCCAATCCACGATTCCGGCAATTCGATGGACGGCGGGGGCAGGGTTCGGAACTCACCGAACACGTGGCGGAATCCGAGTCCTAACCCCCGCCTCCCGTCGATTCAGACGAACCGATGGTTGGTGGGGGTACGGTTCGGACGTCGCCACTTACAGAGATCACCGCCACCGAAAGCCCATCGGGGGGGCGGAGCCCCCCCTCCCGGACGGTGGCACTTTCAAGGGCGTCGCCCAGGACCAGACGGCGGCTCTGGCCGGGCTGCCTCATGTGTCGGGGTGGGCCTTCCCCCCTCGGCGGGCGGCTCGGGGTGGCGGCGGTCTCGGTTCTCTCACCTGAGCGTCCTCGGCACCCGTCCGCCGTCGTTCACCCTCCTCCCTCCTCCCTCTTCCCTCCTCCCTCCTCCCTGTTCCCTCCTTCCTCCTCCTTCCTCCTCCTCCCTCCCTCCCTCCTCCTCGTCCCTCCCTCCTCCTCGTCCTCCTCCTCCTCCTCCTTCATCCTCGTCGGACCTGCTGTGCCTGCGGGCGCGGCCCCTGCCCCCTCCTTTTTTTGTTTTCTTCTCGGCAATGGAGTCGCAGTGACTCCCAGCTCGGGCGGATGGCGAAGCTGGTACGTCGTGCGCCACCCCCGCCCGAGCACCAGAGGAGGAAAAGGTACCCCTACCTCTACCCTTCGCCCGTTGTCCCCTTTTGGGGCCTCCTGAGAGGCCCTCGTCGCCACCGCTGGATTCGCCTCGAAATCCTGGTCTGGACGCGCCCCGGGAGGGGTCCAGGGATTAGCGGTACCGGTACCTTTCGGTCTCCCCGGAGTATATTGTCATTGAGCACGGACAAGACTCGTGCCGACGTTACGCGCGCGCGCGCGCCTCATCCCTCGAGTTAGGGCTGCCCGGACGCAATAGTCACGCCGATTCAAGGCACCGGAGTCCCAGGAATGGCGCTTTGTCAGGATGGGGGGTTCTCATGCACTTGTTGTTCAATGGGGAACTTCCGGCCATGAGAAGAAGTTCTCGCAGGGGCTCTAGACGAGAAAATTGACAGGAAGGGTTGATTGCAGCATGTTTGATCCGTTTGGGGCCTACGCTGCTTTTGAGCCCCTATCCCCTGCTGTTACTGTCTGATTAGCCCTCTTTGGCCAGCCCAGCCTTACATCCATCTCCCGCTCTCTGACTTTTAGCATTATGGCATCCCTCTCCTCCGTTTCTCCTCACCTCAAGCGGGGCACCTCGTGTCTGGTCCGCCAATTTTGCCCCAGCACCAGAGGGCGACCACGCAGTGGCCTAGACATCGGCAGCGTCTCAGTGTGGCACTCTCCACGCTCACTTTGCGCACTGACGGCGTACAATTGGTGTAACGCCAGACTGGGTCCCCCCCCAAAAGTCCTCCTCCCCCCTCGCTCCTCCCCCTGCGCTGCACCCCTCGCTCCGTCCTGGCATCAGGGCGGCCCTCTCGCCCTTGGCCCCGCCCGCCCTCCCCCCTCCAGCCGGCGTTCGGAACACCCGCCCGCTCGGGCCCTTCGGATGTGCCGTGCCACTGCGGCTGTAACTTCACCGTGGGCCTCGTGCGCATGCTCTTCCGCCTGTGCTGCAGTCCTCCGTGGCCTCGGCCGCAGAGCCTGCTGTTCCAGCCGTCCGCTTGCCCTCCCTCCCTTCCCCCCTTCTCCCACCCCCTCCTCCGTCCTCATCCCTCCTCCCCTCCTTTCCATCCTTCCCTCCTCGTCCCTCCTCCGTCCCTCTCCCTCCTGCCTTCCTGCCCTCCCTCCTCTCCCTCCCTCCTCTGCACCCCTCCTCCCTTCCTGGGGTCAGGGCGGCCCTCCTCTTGTCCTGGGTGTCACCGCCCCCCTCCTCTAACTTCGAGGCGGGCCCGGCGCCGACGCGGGCCCCGGGCGTTGGGCGTCGCGTAGGGGGGGGAGGGGGGGGGGGTCGATACATGGGGGGGCGTCGAGGGCTTCTGAAAAGGAGGCCTTCAAGAGGGGGCTTTTTGGGGCCCGAGAAGTGCACGGTAGGTTCGCGTCGTGTCGACTGGTGGCGACCCCGCCGCCGGCGTTCATGGTTGAACGCCGCCCGCGACCCAGAGTCGGTCGACGTTGAACGATCCGCCGATCGCTCAAGGTGGAACGCTTCCCGCGGTGTCAGGTGTAGACGCCCGGGTTGTCACCACGCGGACCTGCCGTGCCTTTTCTCCCCCCCCCCCCCCCCTTTTGCAGCGACGCGCAAGGAAGGCGAGGTTCTCCCCGCCCAGACCCTCCGCGCGAGGGCGCGCGCGCCTCCCTCCTCCAGCCTCGAGGCGGGCCCGGCGCCGACGCGGGCCCCGGACGTTGGGCGTCGCGCAGAGGAGGGGCGATGCAAGGGGGGGCGGCGAGGGCTGCCGAAAAGGTGCCCAAAAGGGGGCCCCCGGGGCTCGAGAAGTGTTTCTTTCTCTCCCTCACCCCTGTGCTACGGGAGCGAAACATGACACAAACATAAAAAGTCGGAGGTCCGCGGGAATTTATTGGATCCGCGCTGGACCCCCCTCCCTGGCGCGTTCCGCGCGCCAGGGGCGGCGCCGGGGGCGCCGCCAGGGGGCCCCACGATCCGAGAAATCCGCGCAGGCCTCCGAGTTTTTATGTTTATGTCACTGTTCGTTCCCCAGTGTGCATCGCCTCCCCATTGCGCGACGCCCAAGGCGAGGGTCTCCCCGCCCAGACCCTCCGCGCGAGGGCGCGCGCGCGCGCCCCCCCATCGGATGGCGGCGTTCCGGGCCGGCGCGGGCGGAGCCCACGCCTCGGCGCGCTCGCGCGCGCGCGGTGCCGCCCCGCGCCGCGCCTCGGCGGCGCGCCGTCGCCGTCGCCGTCGCCGTCGCCGTCGCCGCCGCCGCCGCCGCCGCCGCCGTCGCCGTCGCCGTCGCCGTCGCCGTCGCCATCGCCGTCGTCGTCGTCGTCGTCGTCGTCGTCGTCGTCGTCGTCGTCGTCGTCGTCGTCGTCGTCGGCGGCTGCTCCAGAAGGACCAGCGAAATTCCGCACCCTCCTGCCTCGTGCCCGTGGACATATGCTTTTTGTTATTTTAGGCGGCGCTCTGCCGCATCGGGGCGTGCCCTCAGAGAGTCGCGTGGAAGTGCGAGCGCACACGCGCAGGCAGGCCACGAGAGGGGCGAGTGGCTCCGGGGTGGGCATGTCACGCACCGTCGGGGGGCCTCGCCGAAGGCATGGACCATCGGCGCCCCTGGATACTTACATGTGAGGCGTTCCAAGAAGGGCCTTGGAGGATCGAAGGAGTGGCCATCTCATCCGCAGAGGAAGGCGGCGGAAGGTCGGCGGCAGACGGCGGAAGCAAAACGGCGGCGGCCCCGCCGGCGGAAGTTCGGCGGAAGCTCGGCGGAAGCCGGCGGAAGCAAAAGTCGACCTATAGATGTATATATATATATATATATATAGGTATACAGCTATTTATACATATGTACATGTGTATAGATGAAAGCATTTTTTTTGGGGGGGGTCAGGGTTTCGGCAACCCGCCGTTTCCAGGGACAGATTGAAAGTATGGGATGTGGTGGGCAAGACGGACATCCATAACACACGGAAAATATTTGGATATCTGGGATTTGTGTCTACACTCGTACCTAGGCCAGAAGAACACCCCTCAAGAACATGAGACCCTCCGTTGGCCAAAACGAACAGAACGTCCAAGGGCACCCTCCCCACGTTGCACACGAACATCCAACAAACACGAAGAACACTAGGAACCCCTCCCCGAAACGACCTCGATCAGCCTCCTCGAACCGACCTCGATCTTATACCTCGGTCTGACTGTGTTTCTTTGTGTGTCCCTGGGCCCATTCATTTGTCCATGTCCTGGCTTCGTCGTAGGACGGGGGAAGTGAAGGGGGGACAGGCCCTCTCTTGGAGGGCGGCGGGGCTCGTGGCGTCGGAGGCGGCGTAGACAGCTTCCTCCTCCTCCTCATCCTCCTTCTGCCCCTCCTCCTCCCCCTCCTCCTTTCTTACTCCTTCTCCTCTTCCTCCTCCTCCTCCTTTTCTCCTCGTTTTCTCCTCCTTCTCCTCCTCCTCCTCCTCCTCCTCCTCCTCGTTCTCCTCCTCCTCTTCCTCCTCCTCCTCCTCCTCCTTCTCCTCCTCTTCTTCTTCCTCCTCCTCCTCCCCCTCCCCCTCCTCCTCCTCCTCCTCCCCATCCTCCTCCTCCTCCTCCTCCTCCTCCTCCTCTTCTTCCTCCTCCTCCTCGTCACCATCCTCCTCCCCCTCCGTCTCTTTTTCGAAAGGCGAGGGGCCTTCAGAGCATTCCGAGAAGGCCCGCCCCCTTTGCTTTCCCCCTTGCGCGCCGCCGAACATGGCCCTCCCCCTCGGCGACGGAGCCAGACCTCCCGACGTCGTGCCAAACTGGCGACGGAGGGGCCTTCGTAGGCTACTTCAGGTTCTCCTGCCTCGGGAGGGCTTCCAGCAGGGGCGCCCTGCCGACAGCGTGCCGGGGGTGCCCCCCAAGCGTTCCGAGCGGCCGCAGCAGGCCCGAGTTTCGACCCAATAGCCCGACCTCCTCGCGCTGCGAGCGAACGTTGACGCCAGGTGTTCCGCCACTTCCAGCGCCTTGGGGGGCCACCGTGGGCCGTCAATCAACGGGCCAGTCTTTGGGGCGTGATCGAGGTTTCGGGGTTGTGAATATCATCGCGATGTCGGAGGCCTGGGTGCGTCTCTTCGTCCTCGTCTTCTGTCCGCCTGTGGGCGTTTTCCTCCTCCTCCTCCTCCTCCTCATCCTCCTCCTCATCATCATCATCATCATCACCCTTCTCCTCCTCCTCCTCCTCCTCCTCCTCCTCCTCCTCCTCCTCCTCCTCCTCCTCCTCCTCCTCATAACCTCTCCGTCGTCATCGTCCTTGTAGCCCGCCCTGCTGTCCTCTTCGTCCTCGTCCTGCTTCTCCTGGTGTGCTTGTTGTCCTCTTCCTTCTCCTCGTTCGCAGTGCGTATCCACCCGTTCCGTCCGTCCAACTCCTCCTCTGGGAGAGTGGTCGAGACTTTTGTGTTTCAGGTTGAGAGCAAGGTCGCGATGTCGGAGGTCTGGGATCGTTCTGCTCTTGCAGCAAGTCCGCGCGCCGCCTCGACATGGCGGGGACGCCGTCGCGGGTGTTTCGGGCCCTGGGGTCCAGAGAAGCAGCCCTGGGCGCGAAACCTTCACAGAAGGTGGGGTCGACGGTCCTTGGCAGTCCCAGTCCCCAAGCTGCTGAAAGCGCCTTCCTCAACTTCAACAGGAGCTGTCGAATGGACATACTTTGGCCAGCCTTTTTCTTGCGATATAACCATGCTGCGGGACGTCGCGGCTTGGTTTGGGAGAGTGTTGGAAAGGGGCCCTCCTCCAGGGCGGCGGCGCGAGAGCGCGATGATCACTGCGCGTCCAGTTAGGTGACCCAGTGTTTGGGAGCGGGCCGCAACGCAATCTGCCTCAACCGCCTTCCTGCTTCCTGCTCCTGCGTGCCTCTCCCCTCCGCCGCCCACCCCGTCCTGGGCGGCGGGGGGAATAGGGCGCGGATACGGTGGGGGCGTTCGTGAAGGAATGTGTCCCTGAGGCTTTAGACCCTGGAGGGTTCCTTATCTGACGAGACGAGGGCGGCGATGATATCCACGGCCGATCCACGATTCGAGTTCCACCAGCCTCCAGACCCTGGATTCCTTATCTAAGGGTTCCTTGTCCAATGCCCCCACCGTAAGGAGCCTTCCGAACAGCAACCCTTCATCCGTCGTCCGGCCGTGGTCCCCCCGTCGTCTGCCTATCGTCTCTCGTTGTCGTCTTCGGCGTCGTCGCCAATCTTCGGCGGTGTTCTCCCCTCCGCCGCCCATCCCGTCCTGGGCGGTGGGGGCACAGGGCGCGGAGAAGCAGCCTTCCGAACAGCGACCCGTCATCCGTCGTCCGGCCGTGGTCCCTCCGTCGTCTGCCTGTCGTCTCGTCGTCGTCGTCTTCGGCGTCGTCGCCCAGCTTCGGCGGTGCGCCAGGGGAGGACGCGAGGGTGGCCTCCTCCTCCTCCTCCTCCTTCTCATCCTCCTTCTCCTCCTTATCCCTCCTCCTCCTCCTCTTTCTTCCTCCTCCTCCTCCTCCTCCTCCTCCTCCTCCTCCTCCTCCTCCTCCCCCTCCCCCTCCCCCTCCCCCCCCCCCTCCACCTCCCCCACCTCCCCCTCCTCCCTCTCTTCCTTCCAGAGAAAGCCTCCCCCCCGCGGCTCCGGAGGGGGCTTGGGGAGCTTCCTCTCGGAAGGCAGGGGGCCCCTCTGAGCATTCGCAGTTGGCCCGCCCCCTCTGCCTTCCCCCCTGCCGCAGACACGCTGGCGGCGATGCAGGCAACGGCGATGTGGGCGTCGACATTGTAGGAGGGGGTGTTTCGTGGCCGACCCGATTGTAGGATAGCGTGGTTCGTGACTTCCTAGCTCGATGCTTTCGCGCATCTGAAACGTAGGAGAGTGTGGTTGGCGATTTCCAGCAACCCCTTCTGCGCGATTTCGGCTTCGCAGGAACCAGGGTCCCAACCTCGCCGTTGACCAACGTTGCTGCTACTCGGGGGCAGTCGAGGCGACCCCTAGCGAGCCATCCCCCTTTCCTCCGTGACGCCCCCCTCGTTTCGCCCCAAGACTTGTGTATGCGGCTGGAGGGGAGCTCGACAGGCGATGCTGACGCCACGGCCGGGGATGGTTTGCCAGGGGTCGGTTCGGCCGCGCCCGGGTTACCGTGGCCTTGGCCTTGGTCAGCGGCGTCTCACCGATCCCCCCTGGGCCGGGGTAGCTCAGCCCCGCCCGCCCGCCCCCCCTCGGCGCTTGAGGGCCCCCCCCCCCCCGCGAAGCCCGAGGGGAGGAGCACCTGTCCCCACCACCCAAGGGGGATTTTGCCGACCAGTGGGGCCACGGCCCTGCCACAGTGGGGAGGGGGATCGGTTCAACGATGCTCACCCCGGGCGTGCTGCCGAATGTCGTCGTCGCCCGTCGGTCGTCTTCGTCGCCGTCCGCCTGTGCGGCTCGTAGCCCCTCACGTCGTGAAAAAATCACGACGGGAGGCTTTTCCCTATGTCCAGCCTCTGGGGGCCCTCACCGGGCCTCGGGACCGTCAACAGAACGACTCGGGATGAAAAGCCGGTCCCCGGGAAGGGGCCCAGGCTCCTGCTGGGGCCACGTGACGAAAAACGCCTGGCGTCGGGGGTCTGGGAACGATGCTCACCCCCTGGCGCGCTGCCGAATGTCGTCGTCGCCCGTCGGTCGTCTTCGTCGCCGTCCGCCGGGTGCGGCTCGCGGCCCCCGCGCGCGCCGCCGCAGCGAGGTCGGGATGAGCCAGGCCCCCGCGCGTGGCGGCGGCCTCGTCGCCGCCGCGCCCCCGCGCCCTCTCCTCTTGCTGGGCTCGCGGCCGTCGTTGCTCGAGGGTCTCGCGATCGGCCGGCGAGGTTCGAGGATCGAGCATCGAGGATCGAGCATCGAGGATCGAGCATCGAGGATCGAGGTTCGAGGATCGAGTTCGAGGATCGGGCATCGAGGATCGACGGCGTCCTTGCGTCCTCCTCCCGTGGCTGCCCAGTCTCGGGCCAGGGTCGGCTGGCTTGTGGGGCGCCACCTGCTATAGCCGTCTGCATCGTGAGCACGCGAGGGTTGAGGACAGAGGCACACGCCGGTCGCTGAAAGCATGTATTCTTCGGATGCCCGAGTCCTGATCCGCATTGGGCGCCTTCCTGCCTCAAGAGTCGAGCGGTCGTCCCTCTGCCTCTTCCCTCCCCTTCTGGCGGCGGGCGGGATCCCAACCTGCTTCCAACGCCTTCCTGCTTCACGTTTCTGTCCAACTTCTTCCGTCCGATGGGCATGGGAACGTTTATGGCCCTCTTCGGGCCTCCAGGGGGGCTCACGGTCTTCGCTCGACAGTCGGGGCCGACGGTCGGGGTTGGAGGATCGACCTTCGGTGCAGCCCGAACGGGCACGGGAGGAACGGGGGCGACGGCCGACAGCAGTTCCCCAGAGGTCCTATGCTCCAAAGGAAGAAACATTGGAGCGGGCGGCCTTTGGCAGCTTTCGGCAGGGGCCCTCGCTGGGCCTCGGAAGCGCCCCAAACGATTCAGGACGAAAAACAAGCCCTGGGGGCATCGAAACAATTCGAGCGGCGGGATGATTGGGTCCTGTTCATTTTGAACAGTACTCGCTGTCGGTGCCGCCGCGTACGTGGTCCCTTGGAGTCAAGTAGTAGCTTACCCAGCAGCGGCCGCTGTCGCAGTTGGACAACGTTGACTTTTAAGCATTGCGCTCAATGTTTCCGTAATCATTCTGGGCGCGCCAAGTGGAGGTTCGAGGATCGATCATTAGAGAAGCCAGAAGACACCGTCATGATTCGTTCGAAGATTTTCCAGGACCTCCCGCGACTTCCAGTTGTCCCGCACGTGCTCCAGAGTCGAGGGCCGCTAGATGTTTGAAACACTTCTGGAACGCATCTTGAGCCACATCCAATCACGACATCATCTTGAGGATGGATCAGAAGTCGAGGGTCGAGCGTCGAGCATAGTGTTGCCTGGGCCTCTGAAGCCTCCAGGGGCCTTGAAGGACCTCAGGAGGCCTCGCCGTCACCGTTGTCGTCGTCGCCGTCGTCGTCGTCGTCGCCGTCGTCGTCGTCGTCGTCGTCGTCGTCGTCGTCGTCGTCGTCGTCGTCATCAGTCGTCGTCACTGTCGCTGTCGTTGCCGTGCGCCGTCGTCCTTCATCGTCCGTCGTCCGTCGTTGTCGTCGTCATCGACGTTTTTGTTTGTTGTCTGTTGCGCCCGTCGACAGTGCAGTCGTCGTCCGTCGTGTGTCGTGTGTCGTCTGTCGTTGTCCGTCTCCTTCGAAGGAGGCGGAGGGAGGATGAGGAGAGGAGGTCGGAAGGGGGCAGGACGAGGATGAACTTGTTCCAGAGCATTCCAGAACGATCTCAGAGCGTTCCGGAGCGCTCTAAGTTGGCCGCGGCGCCCGACACATCTTCCAGAGCCGCCAGATCTCAGAGATTCTCCATTTACAGTAAGAGCTCGACCACAAGAGGTTTTGCGCAAGAGACCCAACCCTAAGACCCCAGGACGTCCTCTGTTTTTTTGTGTGGGGACGTCACGCTTTCCATAGCAAGACCATCGAAACCCGAGAAACCCAGGGCACCCTGGAGAGAAGCAGGGTGCTCCTTGGCATGGGTTCCCACTGTGTCCTCGTCCTGGCTTCGTCTTCGGAGGCCGTCGATGGGGCCATCTTTTGGGCGTTCCTCTGGGCGGCCTCTGGCCGCCCTGGTGCCCTTTGGTCGGGTTCTCCTATACGGAGCTGCCTTAGGTCGAGCATGTCCTCCTACAGGCGGATTTCGTGCGAAAGTCCAAAAATAGTCAAACATATTGAACAATAGCGAACGATAGTCGAGAAATCGTCCCCAGGCTGTTTTTGCTTTTATTTTTGAGAATTCCTCCTGTAGAGGGGCATGCTCGACTCGAAGCTGCCTCTCTGGGCGCTCCTGTTGTTTCGGAGCTCTCCTGGGAGCTGCCTCTCCGGGCACTCCTGCGGAGCTCCAGGGGGGGCGGGGCCCTGCAGCGCGCGCCCCCCGGTACAGCACCCGCGGCCCGGACCTGCCGGGAGTTGACGACCGAGGTACGCAGGTGGCATCGGCGGCGAGCGAGGGGCGGAAGTGAGAAGCAGGGCCTTCTCGGAAGGCTCGGAGGTCCCCCAGCCTTCTGAGAAGGTTTCCAAGCCTCCCCCGAGGACACAGAAAGCCTCCCAGCAGGCGCGAGGGCTTCTGAGAAGTCCCGCCGCCATCTGAGAAGGCCTTCTCCTTTTCATTTCCCCCCCATCGCTTGCCGCCGACCTGCAGCGCGCGCCCCCAGGAGTTCCAGCACCCGTGGCCTGGACCTTCCGGGAGTTGGCGACCGAGGTATGTATCAGGAGGGAAAGCAGACACGCACACACACACACACACACACACACGCACACACACACATACACAGACACAAAGAATCGCCGACCCCCAGGGACATAGGGCAAGTGATGGGAAAAGTGCGTGGAGGGGAGACGAACATCCGGACGATATGGACAAGACGGGGCATCCTGGGATTTGTGCTTCTTTATTTGTGTGTCCCTGGGCCACTTCACACGCAGTTGTTTCCCAGGACCCCAGACCCCTCGGGGGCGCCGCGCGCGCGGAGCATGCAAACAGCACTGCAGAGACTCGAGATTCCAGCACGCTTTTTGCCCGCTGCGAAGCTGGTTTCGGTGTTCCATAGATGTTCGGCATGCGCAGGACATCCCCCAGGGTGTGTCCTCGATGTGGTTGTGGTCGCTTCATGTTCCCGCAGATTAGGGCATGGACAGGCCGCCGTCTCTCACTCAGGACTCCTCTTGGCAAGGCTTCGCCTGCTGCGTCTGGCTAAATGTGCTCGCATTGTGCCATCCACGCCCCCTCGCTGAAACCGCTCTGAACCCTCGAGCTCACGCCAAAGGTCAGAAAATCCGGAAGAAACCCTCCGAACTTTGTGAGAACAAACTTCCCAGACTGGTGAGAACAAGCCTCCGCAAGTCCTTTCTTTGGGATGCAACTCCTGGGAGTTTTGGCTCAGCGTCGGCGCTGATACATCCGCTGTCGGAAGCCAGCACCAGGTGACACAACCCCGCTTCATCCGGCTCACGCCCATTTCATTCTGTTCAGCTCCAAGCTCACTCTGTCCCTGTCCGGCTCAAGCTGACATCTTGCATTCGAATTCGGCCCCCGAAATCTGCCAAAACACGCCCTTAAAAACGTCTCCCCTCCTCCCCGCCCCCGGCTCGGCCTGGCGGGCGCTCCGAGCCCGGAGGTCGGGCCTCTCCAAAAGCCAGCGCTTGCGCCTCCCGTCTCGACTGGAGGTCAGGCGAGGCTTGCGAGGCACTGCCTTGGGCAGGCCGCCTGCTCGAAGTGCAGTTTGGACGAGACCGGGCAACGGTCTCCGCCCTGACTGCAAGAGGGGCGGGGCCACGGCCGACTTCGAGACGACTTGCCCCCTAATTATGAAGGGATCTGTGGCCGTGGATGTCGAACAGAATCCTCGATCTCCAGGCCCCCTCATGTCTTAGGAGGGGAACAAAAAACACATACACCATGAATCGTCGATTCCCCAGAGAATAGGGGGGAAGTATGGAAGGCAAACAACAAGAAAAAACAGGAAAATATGGGGAATCCGGTTAATCGTGTCTATTTATTTGTGTGTCCCAGGGCCCCTTCAGTGGCGTGAAGAGAACCACGGCGGAATTTTTGTTGTCCGATGTGCTCGGCCTCCGGGGGCCCACCGCAGGGCCCGGGGATCCGCCAGTCCCGGGGGGGGGGGGGGGCGGGGCGAGACGTTTGGGGGTCTCGGGGTCAGCTGCGGCATCGTGGAGTCCGTCAGTTGGAACGCCAGTCGGGACGATCGAGATGGGTACGGAAAGAATGGGTGCAATGCCCAACAGCAGTTCCTGTGCATTTTGAACAGGACTCGCTGTCCGAGCCGCCGCGGCGTGTGTCCATTTGAAATATAAGGCCGCCTGCCAGACAGCGACCGCGGTTGGTTTGGGACAACATTTGTTGCTGGGCAATGTGCCCATCTTTTCCGTACCCATTCCGAGCATCCAAAGCCGGTGCTCCTCGCGTCGAGCTGCGACCACACAGACCCCGAGCGAGCGCACGGGGGCCAAGGAGGGCCCCCCCTCCCTGGCGCCGATTGCCTCCCCGGGGCGCAGCTGGGGCCCAGCAGGCACCATGCTCCTTCTTCGGGGCTCCTCGTGGCCAGACTTTCGTCGGGCATGTGCCTCTGCAGGGGGGGAAGCGTTGAAAAATCGTGAAACATAGTTTGGGGACCTTTTTTTTGTTGCCGTCTTTGTATACATGTTTTTGACTTTTTAGATGTATGTATGTATATATATATATATAGATTATCATACGCACCTCTCCGAGGGAGTGGAGCTCAGAGCCGATCAATTGAAGGCGACGTTCGCGATTTTTCTGGCCGTTTCGCTAGGGACATCCTCGAATTTCTGAACATCGGTGGCACCCCTCACGCAGATCGTGACGTCATGGTCCAAAAACACATTGGAACTTCAACATTCTAACATCAAACCTTCAAAAACACATTGTAATTTCAATGATTTTGACCCCGATTCTCAGAGAATGGCGATTTCGCCTGAGACATCCTCCCAACATCGAGCCCCGACGTACCAGACCCCGCCTCGGAGCCTCTTGGGAGCCTCCTGGAACCTCCTGGAGCCTCCTGGGGCTTTTTGTACCTTCTGGTGCCCCAGACCCCGCCTCGGAGCCTCCTGGGGGTCTCCTGGAACCTCCTGGGGCCTCCTGCGGCCTTCTGGAGCCTCTTGGGGCCTCCTGGAGCCTCCTGGGGTCTTCTAGGGCCTCCTCAGGCCGCTCTGGGGCCTCCTGGGGCCTCCTGGGGCCTCAGAACTACATGCACACACAGAGACACAAATCACACCCAACACATCACACGCTAGACAAACATAGCACACACACCACCTACAACGCACAGAAAACACGCACAACACAGAGCACACATCACACACACATAACACTCACAGTCCCGGGGCCTCATGGAGCCTCTTCCAGTATCCAAGTCGGGCCTCCTGAGGTTTCCTGGGGGGCCCTGGTACACACATCGCAAGCTGTGGCAACCCTACTTGCGCTCGAGTGCGACCTCGATCTTAGATTATTCTGCGTTCACCTCCTGCCTCTTCCCCTTCCCTTAGGCACGCCCTGGCGGCGCCGCCCCAGCTTCCCCTTCTCCATCTCCGATCCTGCAGTCATGGTGTCTTCCTGCTTCAAACGCCCTTTCAGTTTTTTTGTTGTAAGAGCCTGGGCACACACGTGCCACTTGTGTGTATATCTACTACTTTTGATTTTATTCCAGAATCCGCCTGTAGGAGGACAGGCCCGACCTAAGACCAGACCTTGGCTGCACCCCCTCCCCCGCCACGGAGTACACTGCAGACCGCGATGACGGCTGCGATTGCCATCAGCAGCATTCTGCAGCATTCTCTGCATAATTACGTTGCTTGTCGTGCCTGGACCCTTGGCATCGGTTTCCTTCTTCTGCTTTCGCCCAGTCGCTTCGGGTTCGTGTCGTGTCGACCGGCGGCGACCCCGCCGTGGGCATTCGAGGATGAACGCCGCCAGTGGCCCAGAATCGCTGTATGGAACGATCGCTCGATCGAAGAGTCGCCTATCGTTCAAGATTGAACGATCCGCGCTGTGTCAGGCACCAACGCCAGGGTCGACACGACGCGAACTTGCCGTATGTCTTGGCGCAGCGCAGCCCTCCCCCCCCCCCCCCCCCCCCGCGCATCCTCGGCCCCCGCCCCCCCCCCCCTGCGCCCGCGGCCCGGCCTCCCCCTCCCGCTGGCGGCCCCGCAGGGCATGGGCACGGCTGCTGCTACCAAGCGGATCCAGAGGGAGCTGAAGGAGATCCACACGACCCCTTCGCGGAGGGGAGCCGGCCGTCGGAGAAGGAAAGGGTATACCTCTACCTCGCTTCCACCTCGTCCGGGCTTCCTCGGAGGCCCTCGTCGTTGCCGCTGGCTTCGCCTCGAGATCCTGGTCAGAACGCGCCCTGGGATAGGTCTGGGGAGCAGTGGTATTGGTACCCCTTGGCTTTCCCAGCGGGGAGCCTTCTCGGGCGGGCCCAGGACCGTCTGGCAGTGGCGAAGCGTCCTGACTTGCCGCTAGGCTCATCAAATAATGTTCTAAGGACCTTTCTGTGGTTCGCCCGAAACGTTCTTGGAGCATTTCTGGCTGAGACACGGTCTTGCCTGAACCCACTGGCCCCATGTTATAAGAAGACTGTTCTTTTCCTTGGAAAAACCGTCGGTTCTAAAAAAACTTCGTGAATATCCGGACGGGACGGTCGGCCCCTGCTCAGAGACCAGGATAGAAAGCGCTCCGGAGCGCTCCCGCGGAGCGCTCTCTCGGAGCGCTCTCTGGAGCGCCCTGCGATGGCCGCGGCACCCGCGTGGTGTACCCCGGTCCGGCTTTGCCCCAGCCCTGGCTTGCAGACACCTGGCGATACTGAGGTCCTTGAGACCCTGGCGTTGCATTTGTTTAACAACGGGCGTTTTCGCACAGTTTCGGGCCCCAGGGCCCTCACAGATCGATCCGGCTCGAAAAATGCCGCAGAAGGATGAGGTCTGGGGCTCTGGTGGTGAATGCTTGCTACGTTGCATTTTTTTGCAACGTCTGATTTCCGGGATCTGCTTTTTCAATCCGCCGGCCCAGAGTTCCCGACCCCTCGTAGCCTTTCGTCCCGGATCCGTTTTTGGTGGCCCCCATGGGGCCCAAGAGCGGACCCCTGGGGCCGAACTGGAGGACGAACACCTGGACCGGGATTGAAAAACACACATCTAGAGTAGGGGATCGGCTACAGAATTGATTTGCCCCAGCATTGACTTTTCTTGTCGAATCCACGGGCACTTCGTAGAACTTTCGCAGATCCAAATGGTTGACGTATTTTTGTCGAAACGTCGACGTGGAAATCAATTTAGGGGTAAATCAATTCTGTAGTCGATCCCCCGAGTGACTGTTCGGCCCCCTCACTCTGACTCTCTGACTTCCAGCATTTGCAGGGTTCCCCCCACCCCAATTTTCCACACGGGCTGCAGAAGCGAGGGCCGCTGGCTATCCTGCACATTTTGGACCGTCTTTGGGCCAACCTTTTCATGAAATTATTATTCGAAGGATTGCAAAACCTTTGCAATCCTTCGAAGGATTGCAAAGGATTGCAAAACCTTCGGTTGTTTGCAATCCTTTGCAATCCTTCGTCTTAGGAAATGGAGACCGAGTTTCTCCACGCCGGCGGCGCCGATGCACCACCCGCGACGGCGGCGGCGACGAGGACGACGACGACGCCGATGCCGGCGACGCCGACGACGCCGACGGCGCCAACGTCGACGGCGAAGACGAGGAGGAGGAGGACGACGACAACGACGACGAGGACGACGACGAAGTCGCCGTCGACGAGGACGACGAGGAGGGTAGTCGATAGTCGAGGCTGTACAAATAGGACACGGGTAAAGTGTTACCGTTTTCGTGCCCTACGAAGACGCTTCTGGCTCTAAATTTTGCCATCAATTAGCCATTACATAGCCTATAACTTGTGTCCCAAAGCGCCGCCCCACGACTGTGAAGCACAAGTCGTACCTGGCCCCTGGGTCGCCCCTCTACCGCGAAGCACAAGTAGCAGTTATACTATGCTACATCGTCCCCCGCCTTCTGCCCCAAGGGGCTGCCCCACGACTGTGAAGCGCAGATTATACATACCCCCACCACAAAACCCCACCCCCCACCGCTCGGGTCCCCCCCACCACCGCGCAGGCAAACGATTGCCCCACGACAGCCACACTACCGAATCCACCGGCCCCAGGGCCGCCCCACGACTGTGAAGCACACGACAAGAGGCTGCGCCACAACTGTGATCGCTACAAGGCTAGCCTTGCTTGCCCGGCTCGCCGGGCCCCTGAATACCCCACCCCACGGCCACGAAGTGCTCCGCGAAACACTATGCACTATTGGGTGACTGCTGCCTCGCCAAAGTGACCCCCAGATGGGGCTTGCGGCTCCCCCTTACTAGAAGGTGGTCCGCGGTAGCACTTCCTGAGGTGGTTGGGACTTGGATGGAGCAGCCACCTCGTGTTGGGGGTGTGTACCCCTCCCATAACTTCCCTCACAAGCACCCCCCAAGACGCGGGCCCTCCCCATGACTGACGCGTTGGGGGTGATCCCCTCCCCTCAATCCCCCCACTCCAACTCCGCAAGGCGCGGTCTATCCCCCCACAACTGTGAAGTACTGTTACGCGTGCTGCCGCACTCGAAGTGCAACACCTGTTTTCCCCCCCACCAACTCCCCCTTTCTGGCCACGTCGTGTGCCCGACAGTAGGGGTGACCGGAATAGTTGCCAAATTTGGGATTACAAGGGGGACCTGCCCCAGCCCCTTATGCAGATGGGTCTGGGCCTTTCTCTGCCCCCTTGGCGTGGCTGGGATATGGAATTCGCCTCAGCCCACGCTTGGACTTAGCGCTGCCTGCGGTGGTTGGGCCCAGGATTTGGCCGCCACCTCGCGCTTGGAGTGTGACCCCTCCCATACACTATGTGCATCAATGCTGCGGGCCCTAGCCCTATTTCGGGGATGCTGCAGTGCGATGATTCATGTCCTGGAGGTACTCCATACAAATGTGCAGTAAACATTGAATCAAGTAGCCTCTAGTGAACCCTGTACACAGGTCCCCCATCATCGCCCCATCCTGTTCCCGTCTTGGCCCGACAGAGATTGACAATAGGGGTGAAAGGGGGGCTTGCCGACCTCCAGGAAGGCAATGGGGACCTGCTCCCAGCCCGTGATTCGAACATGTCTGGGCCCCATTGCCTCCTGCAACTGCTACAACCTTTTACTACCCCCCTGGCGTGGCTGGGGATTGGCATTCGCCCCAGCCCACGCTCGGATTACAAGCCTTCTCTACCTGCCCCTGGCGTGGCTGGAGAATGGAATTCGCCCCAGCCCACGCTCGGAACCAATCCTTTCCCTACTCCCTTGGCGTGGCTGGGGAATGGCATTCGCCCCAGACCACGCTCTGACTCCAATCTCACTATAACTCCCCCTGGCGTGGCTGGGGAGAGAAATTCTCCCCAGCCGACGCTCGGACTCCAACCCTTCCCAGCCCCCCTCTGGCGTGGCTGGGGAATGTAATTCGCCAGCCCACGCTTGGACCCAAAACCTTCCCTAACCTCCTTGGCGTGGCTGGGGAATGGTATTCGCCCCAGCCCACGCACGGGCCCCAAGAGTAGTGTAATCCCCTCTGGCGTGAAATCCGCTACAGCCCTTGAGGGAAAGACGCTGCCTTGGCTTGTTCTGCCGCCCGTTTCAAGCAGGTGGAGTTCTCTCCCGTAGGACGCACTGTTGCAAACAGTCGCGGTAAGCAGAGGTCCGGAGCCAGACCCCCCCCGCCGCCCCCCCCTCCCGCCCAATGCCGAAACGCCGAATGAGAAAGCGTCCACAAGGTCGAAAAGAGGTTGGAATTCGAGGCTGCGCTGTCGTAGAAAAGCGTAGACGAGGAGGAAGAAGAGGAAACCGGGTGCCCTCGTGGGCCGGGGGGGAAGAGGAGCGAGGAAGGAGCGAGGGAGGGCAGGGGAGCCGAGGAGCGAAGCGGGGCGGCAGCGACACGTCTGGGCGAGGGGAACTAGGAGCGGCGGCGGCTTCGTCGACGAGGGACGGGGGGTCCTCCTCCTCCCCCTCCTCCTCCCCCTCCTCCTCCTCCTGCTCCTCCTCCTCCTGATCAGTTTCCTCCTCCTCCTCCTGATCATCCTCGTCCTCCTCCCCCTCCTCCTCCTCCTCCTCCTCCTCCTCCTCCTCCTCCTCCTCCTCCTCCTCCTCCTCCTCCTCCTCCCCACCGGGAGGGGCCCAGATCTAGATACGCCCAGTTTGACAAGCAACACAGGCCGTGTTCAAAACGTCCGCGTTCACACGCTGCGTGTTGGCTCGGCACGCGTTGGCCCGCATCTTGACGAACGTATCACGTCATGTGGACGTTCGCAGTACGCTACGTGTTGCGTACGGGGCAGCTGAGCTCCGATGCATTGTTTTTTCAATACGGAGGTCCCAGAATTCCCGACCGTATCTCCAGGTCGGGAGCCCTGAGACGGGGATTCCGGGGGTCGATGCAAGCGGGGGTCAGCCATAGCGCAGGATCTTGCAATACGGAGCCAGGGTTGCACTGACCTGGGCTAGCGCGCAGGATCCTGCAGGATCCTACAGAATCCAGCGGGATCCCGCAAGGCCTGACTGACCAGGGTTTGCATGGACATGGGTCAGTTGAGCCTCCTCGGTGGTTCAAAGATGGGGTCCTGAGGGATGGCGTCCTACGGACGAGGTGCCTCAAACAATGTAAATCCACCCTTGGACCCCTTCCTATCCTTGGGACCCCATCCCTCATCCTTGAATCGCCGATTGCCCCAGGGCCGGCTTTTCATCCGGAGTCGTTATTTGACGGTCCTGGGGTCTGGCAACGGCCCCCAGAGGCCGACAATTGTTAAGAAATCGTCAGTCGATGCGTCTTTTCACGACGTGACCATTTGTGTGGAGGAACGAGGAAGATGGACGACGTTGAGGAAAGAGGATGAACGACGACGACGACGACGAAGGCGACGACGACGACAACAACGACGACGACGAAGGCGACCGCGGCGACGAGCGCGTCGGCAGCGAAGCGAAGCGCCTTCCATTGGAGCGGGAGCGCAGGCATTGGACCGCCGCCCCCGTCGGGGTCGACGACGACGATGACGACGAAGGACGACGACGACGACGACGACGACGGCGGCGACGACGACGACGACGACGACACCGTCGTCAACGACGACGACGACGAAGGCGACCGCGGCGACGAGCACGGCGGCGGAGCGGGAGCGCAGGCATTGGACCGCCGCCCCCGTCGGGGACGACCTGTTCGAGTGGCAGTTCGCGGTGCGCCCCGGGCGCCTGCGTTTCCAGACCCCCTGGCGCTGTGGAAGCATCGCGGCGGGAGCTTCTCCACGGTTTTAGGCCTCGGGGGGGCCCTTCCTGGGCCCCGGGAGCGTCCAAGAACGACTCAGGTGGAAAAGCTGGTCCTGGGGAAGGGGGCCAGACGTCCAGACCTCTGGGGGCCGACGTTATGAACAAATCATGGCGTCGGGGGTCAGGGTCTCGGAGTAGGAGGAGGAGATACCGACACCCACTCGCGTCATGAAAGAAAGCATGACGCAAGTTTTTTGGCCCCTTTCGGCCTCTGGGGGCCCTCCGTCGACGAGCGACTCATGATGAAAAGCTGGCCTTGGGGAATGTGTCGGTACTTCCTGGGACCCTGTATTGAAACAGTCATGACATTAGATGTACGATAAGATGCTAATGCCGCTGTTCGTCCTGGTGAGCCATCGCCGCCAAGGCTAGGCCCTGGTCGAAACTTAGGCCAGAACGGACCCCATGAGAGGTATCAGTATTTTTTTGTTCCTCGATCATCCGTCGTCCGTTGTCGTCCGTCCTTCGTTGTCGGTCGTCGTCGTTGGTTGTCGTCCTCGGTCGTCCGTCGTCCGTCGTCGCCGTCGTCCTCGAAGTTCGGAGTGAGTGGGGGACTGGGGGGGGGGAAGAGGGGGACGAGATGGAGGAGGGGGAGAGTGAGGAGGGAAGCCCCGTGCGCCTGGCGGGTCCGCCGGGGTTCGGCCTGGTGCCCGGCTGGCGGCTGGCCCGGGCCGCCGCTCGGGCTTCCCGTGCCGCTGGGGCGAGGCCGGCCGCGGTTCGTCCGCCGCAGTGCTCGCCCGTGGCCGCGGATTTCCGTTGGGCGACGTGGCGCTTCGACACCCGCTGTGTACAGCCGGACCGAGGCGTCGGATCGAGGGCGGCTCGGGGAGGGGGATGCCCTAACGTTCTTCGTGTGTGTTGGCTGTTCTTGTGCATCCTTGGGGGGGGTGCCCTCGGATGGTCTGTCTGTTTTGGCCGACGGAGGGCCCATGTTCTTGAGTCAGCTTCTGCTGGCCTGCAGTCAAGCCGCACAGTTAGGAAGGGCAGCCTGCCCCGGGGTACCCTTGCGTCCTTGCCTTCTCGGTCCATCCGTGGCCACTTCCGTGAGCCGCGCCCCGCTCGAAGAGCTTCGAAGTGGGCGTCCAAGGCCCCTGCATCCTTATCGCGCATCCTTCTGATGCGGGCCGGCTGTAGGTCCGACCGCAAGCCCGGTCACGGGATGCTGGCGGGCGCGGGGGGGCAGCAGGATTCCCGGGACTGCTGTGGCCTGGCGGCCTCGGCATGCACGCCGGAGGGCGGGGCGATGCACCCGGGGACCTGCAGGGGCCTCGCGGCCGCGGCGCGCGCGGCCGGCGGGCGGGCACCACAAGCCGCCGTGCAGATCAGTCAGCCGGGCGGGAGGGGACAGAAGCAGGGCGAGACCGTCAAAGGCACGGTTCGGCCACGCGCAGAAGGGGGGGTCGGGGGGAAAGGGGGCTTAAGGCTTCTCAGAAGCACCCCTGCTTCTGAGAAGGCGCGGGCCTCGTCCGGAGAAGAAGCCTTCCACCTCCCCCATACTCATGTGTGCGCGCCGTCAAACTGTAAACAGCAGGGTGAGGCTCGGCTGAGGTGGGGGGGAGGCGGAGCGACTGCATCGAGTGTGACAAGTAGGAGGTGGGCACGCTCGACCTCCTCCTCCCCCGTTCTTCTCCCCCATCTCCTTTTCACTTGTAGATCACTCCTCACTGTCGCGCCCCGGGCGTGTCGGTAGGGCGGGCCGGGCGTTTCGCCCGAGACTTCCGCACCATTTCTGATCCTGAAGCTTGCATTTGCAGAAGCTTCACGGATGGACGGTGGGCGGTTGTCAACATGCGGTTCTCGCCATAGCGCCGCGTAGATTGTGCTCGGGATCTTGAGTGATTCGGACGCCGTCAATTCGTAGCATGCCCGCAGGCCCTTTTGTTCGAGCTGCGTTAGAGGAAAAAAGAGCCCCAATATACGCTTTCCTCACGCATCCGCGTAGCTTCCGCCATGGTAGCGGTGAGCGTGGTTCTGCGGTGAATTACGCGGATCAGATCCACGGGAAGACTGAGGACGTGCGCTGCCCATGGCAGCGGCGCCCAAAGAGCAGCTGGTGGATTGCAGAGGGGACATCGAACTGCCAGAGTTCAGTGGTAGAGATGAGGACTGGCCCAGCTGGTCCATCAACGCCCACGCGTTCTTCGCGCTGATGGGCTAAAATGACCTCATCGATAACGTTGAGGCCCAGCCAGCGCTCGCGGTGGACAGCGTCAGCATGGGCGAGCGCGCGGCAGCGACGAGCAAGCTGCTGCATGCCATGCTGATCACCAAGACCCAGCGCAAGGCGCTGGCGATGGTTACGCTCGCAGGCAGGCACGAGGGTTTCGTCGCCTGGCGGGCGATCAAGAACGAGTACGAGCCTGGGGTGGGTAACAGGTTTGCGGCCATGCTCAGCGGCCTGCTCAACCACAGGTGGGACGACCAGAAGCCGTTCGTTGACCAGCTCGTTGACTGGGACAACGACGTGGCGAGGTACGTCATGCAGGCGGGGAAGGACTTCGGCGAAGAGCTTCGCATCGCTACGCTGCTCGTCCATAGCCCCGAGCCGTACAAGACCGTGCTATGCAACGCGCCGACGGCCGCTAAGGTCTCGCACATGGCGCTGATGACCCACCTGAGAGAGTGGATGGCGTCGGGGCAGGTCTTCGCAGCTAGCGGCGCGGTGGATCAGAGCGCGGCGCCGATGGAGATCGGATCGGAGCGATCTCGGGCCATGCCCTGCCGCAACAGCCTTGGCCCAAGCGCAAGGGCGACAAGTCGGGAGGCGGCAAAGGGCGACATGATGAGCGGCAAGGGCGACAAGGGCGGAAAGGGCAGCAAGAAGGGAGTCAAACACGACGAGCTCAAAGGCAGCTACCCCGCCAAGTTCGAGGGGACCTGCAACTGGCGCCAGAAGCAGGGGCACAAGGATCATGACTGCTGGGGCAAGGCGTCTGGCATGCCACCGGCGCCGTCGGCAGCGCCCCCGAGGGCGGCCGCGGCCTAGCAGACCCCAGCGGGCGCTGACGGCCAGAGGACCGTGAGCGCGGTGGCTGCAGGATCCGACGGCGACGAGGTCGGTTGGGCATTGGAGTCAGGAGCTCGGTCGGAGGCCGCCGCAGGGAGGAGCGCAGGGGGTTCATCCTTGCAGATAGTGGCAGCGACGAGCACCTCTGCGGCCAGGCGTTCGGGGCGCAGCATCCAGCGGCCCAGGAGGGCCCCACTGCGCCCAAGCTAACCACGGTGAGCGGCGGGGCTCGGCACCGAGGGGCTCCGTGGAATCCCGATGGTCGTCGGTGGCGAAAAGGGTCGCCAGCCATGCTTGTGGAACCTTAGAGTGGGCAACGACCTCGCCCCTCAGGACGCGTTGCTCAGCCTCGGGAAGCTGGCGCGCAAGCAGTTCAGGTTTGTCCTGGAGGAGAGCGACCCGCGCGCCGTGAACCTCAAGACGGGCGAGCGGGCGGACATGGAACTAGTCGGCAATCCGTTCTACTTTGCCGCGCAGATCCACGACGCGATGGGCGAGGCCAAGCTCCCAGCCTGCCCCGCCAGGGTCGCCGCGGCTGGCGCCGCAGGAGCTCCGCGGTGGGCGGCGCGAGGAGAGGGCCCCCCGCCGGACCCAGAGGCTCGAGGGCCGCGCGACCCAGCACCGCCAGAGGCAGGAGCCACGGCGCCACAGGCGCAGGCGGCGGCGGCGCCGCCACAATCGCAGGCGGCGGCGGCGCCACCCCAGGCGCAGGAGGCGGCGGCGCCCGCGCGGGGCCAGGAGGCACCAGCGGCGGCAGAGCCGTCGGGGCGGTCGTACCTCGAAGGGCTCGGACCAAGCTCGAGGATCGACGCCATGCAGAAGCGCCTCAAGGAGATTTACGCCCCGTACTACGGGGCCAAGGCTCAGTGCTGGGCACGGCTCGTCGAGTACGAGGGCTGACGCAAGGTGGGGGCGGCGGCGGATGATTTTCGCGAGCTGAGGCGCGAGGAGATCAGGCGTCAGGCGGAGTCGGGACAGGTGGTGGAGCCGACCGCGTTCCCCGACGTTCGCGAGCCAACGCCGGAGGAGAGGCAGCGCCACGAATAACACCAGCGCTGCCCACCCAGGCCCCGCGAGTTGCTGGGCGCGGAGGTGGAACGCCTCCCCGCGATCGGGCTTGACCTGGCATTCTTCGAGGGCGAGGCGGTCGCCGCCGTGGATGCGGGCCCCCGCGCCGAGGACAGCCAGAGACAGGATGGGGAACTGGTGCTGGTGGTCGCGGATGCTGACACAGGCGCCGCGCGCAGTGCCCCGAAGCCCGACCGACGCGCTGATCCCTACACGGTGGCAGCCACAGTGGCGTTCATCAAGAGCCTTTTCCGTCAGAAGGTCATCTTAGGGCCAGACCGCGAGGGCGCCATGATGGACCTGGCCAACAAGGTCGAGGCGGAGCTGCCCAATAGTGTGGTCGTGAGGCCTGCGCCAACGTTCAGCTCCGAGTCGAACCCCTCTGAGAATGCCAGCGGCATCACCCAGGCGCAGTTCCGCACGAGCAGGAGCGCGCTGGAGGCGCGACTAGGAGCCAGGGTCCGACCAGACACGGCCATGCACAAGTGGTTGCAACGCCGCGCGGGCCGGGCATGCACCAACTTGAGGATCAAGGCGAGCGGTCGCACAGCACGCGAGGACCTCTACGGCCGCGCCTGCACGAGGGAGATGGCCACTCCAGGGGGGTCCGTCCTGGCACGCCTGCCCAGAGGCAAGAATCGCAGGGCGAGGGGCAAGGTGCACCACAAGGGTGACATGGGCTTTGCGAGGGCAGTCTGGCTAGGGAAGAGCTACGACACCGACGGGCACTTATGCGCCCTCGAGACGGGTGAGCTCAGTCACGACGAGGGCCGTCAAGAGGCTGCCCGAAGAGCGGAGATTCAACCGCGCCGCCGTGGCGGCGATCGCGCGCATG